GCTGGCAAAAGCCCAGAAACGACCCTAATCACCGTGATCTAACAAAAGACTTTCTCAACGCCGCGGACTGGGTTGAATTGGAGCGTTTCTACGAGTTCCTGAAACCGTTTTACATCCTTACAAAGACAATGGAGGGCAATGCTAATAAACCGGGGGCAGAAGGCGGCCACGGCGCCGTGTGGGAGACTTTGAAGACGATGGACTACCTGTTTATTAAATTCAAGCAGGCTGCATACGAAACTCGACTTGAAGATGCCTCTCATTTTAAGTCTGGTATTGACTGCGGGTGGTCTAAGCTTGAAGACTACTATGTCAAGTCAGACAGGACACCTGTCTACCGAGCAGCTCTAGCGCTCCATCCTTCTTACGGATACGACAACTTTGAGAGGCACTGGAAGAAAGCGATGGGTAAGCCTCAATGGTATAATGACATGCAGTCGGCTGTCAGTGATCTGTTTGATGAATACCGGCGGCACGCTGAAGTTGAAACGCAAGCTCAGGCACGCTGAAGTTGAAACGGAAGCTCAGACTGGGTTTTCGGAAGATGATGATGGCATCGATACTGATGCTAATGAATACAGCTCGTTTGGAAAGAGGTCAATCAGCTCGCTGAATGCACAGCGGAAGAAGGCCAAGGCAGTTAGCGAGCTTGACAGATTCCAGACACGGCAAATCTATGCCGAGGATCTTGACGTCGCGAGCCCTCTTGAATGGTGGAGCCGACATCAACATGAATATCCAGTCTTGTATCGGATGGCGCTAGATCTATTCTCTATTCCTGGAATGAGTGCTGAATGTGAGAGAGTGTTTAGCCAGACAAAGAAGATGATCACTGACGAGCGAAACCAATTGTCTCCAGAGGCAGTGGAGGCTGATCAACTTCAAAAGCACTGGTTATTGAGAGGGTTAGTAACGTAGCATGTCGATGAAGCAAAAAACACGGCTCCCGATACTGTAATAGATATACCACTTCTCCCGATACTGTAATAAAAATAAAAGTGGGGCCAGACCATCAGACCAAGACCGACCGACCCCCAGCTCCAGACAGACCCAGACCGACAGACCAAGAGTCTGGGTGAAACCAGACCGACAGACCGGAGGAGCCGGTCTAGGTCTGTCGGTTTGTTAGCCACACTGAGCCTATGCGTGTGATTTGCGGCTACGACATTTGGCGCTTCACCATGTAGGATGGAGCGAAGTCTAATTAAAGTTGGAGCAGCCAGGTACCCGTCTCAGAAACGGAATCCGACATCCTCGACGGGGCCGGCGGTTGGCCAATGGGAGCTTGGAGATAACGGCTAATATTCCATTTCGGGTAGTTTTGACAAAAACGGAAGTGTCATCTGCGTCTGGTACCTTAAGCCCTTGTAAAGTTTAAACAATAATTCAGCCTTGCAGCGCGATTGAAGGAGAGACACCGGCACTGGGAAATAGTGATGTCTTGAAGGCTGAAGATTCGGGTAATACTGACAAGACGGATGTAGATGAATATGAGCCTCAAATCCTTGATCATGAGGGGCTAGACGAGGAAGGTTCTTGTGTAGATGCCATGGATGAGGGTAATAAATCGCCTCATTTAAATTAGCAGAATAGGGTAGTCAAGTTTCTTACCCGTCTATGAACAATGCACCAAATGACTGATTAATAAGCAGGCGACAGATACTGGATCCTGCACTGGCGCTCCTGGATAGCCTCCAGCCAAATTCTGGACTGGACTGGAGCGAAAGTCGGATCCAGCTCCAATCCAATCCAAACGGATCACTGCGCCGAATCCAAAGGAGCTGAGCGTGGTCCCGATGACGGGGTAGATCCAATGCATTCCCTACGAGACATTGGTTAGCAATCGACCACGCGCAAGGGTTCAGCAAAAAAAAAAAAGGGCTTACGCGGTCGGCCGCGACGTCAAACATGGCCATGCCCGCCGCCATGGCAAGGGCCGGGATGGGCAAAAAGTACAAGCGCATCTCGGGCTCAAAGATGCCGCCGTTGCGCCTGGCCAGCCGCACAATGGCCGCGTCAATCAAGAATCCTCCGTACAGGGTGCCGAGTATCGACCCGACAAACGGCCCGAGATGCATGAGCCCCAGCTCGCGGGGTGTAAAGTTGTACGGCGGCTCGACAAAGATGATGGACTTCATGGACCCCGACACGGTAATGGTGCAAAGATCGACGCCGTACACGGCCGCCACAAAGATGACCTGGGGTATGGCCATGGTGAAGAGCGGCTGGTAGAGCGTCTTCCAGAGCGACTCGCCCGTCGGCGTGAGAAGCTGGAGCCGGAGGTAGTGCGGGAACGGCACCTGGGGCGTGCGCTTTTCGTCGTCCTTTTCCAGCGCGCCATCGGCATCGACAACATGCTCGTCGTCCTCGGCGCTGCCCTTGTGGCCGGCTGCGGGCCGCACAAACTTGGTCTCTTCGTACCCGACGGCAAAGACCAGGGTGAGCACCGTCATGAAGACGCCGAGTGTCATGTAGCACGACCGCCACCCAAAGGCCGTTGCCTGCGCGCCGGCGGCCATGGGGCTGAGGCTGAAGCCAAACTTGAGGGCGGCAAAGTAGATGCCGTTGGCGGTGCCTCGCTGGTGGACAAAGAACAGGTCGCGGATCTGTCAAACTTGTTCAGAGACCGGTGCGGCCAAAAAGATGAGAACAACATGGGGCAAGGGGCGTACACGTACACTCATCTGGACGGCAGTCTCGTTGATGGCGCCCGCGAGGCCCTTAAGCAGATTCGTCAGGTACAGCTCCGTCGCCGTCTGCATGTACGCCGTCCACCACACGGCCGTCGACACAATGTACAGCGAGCGGCGGCCGTATTTTTTGGCAAAGGGGATGAAGATGATGCACGTCACCGCCTCCCCCCCCAGCAGGATCGCCTTGGCCGTCAGCAGCTGGCCGGTCGTGACGTGCAGCTCCTTTCTCAGGGGTTTGAAAAACAGCGACTGTATGGACAGCCTGGATGGGCGTTAGCAGCCGCCGCGGCAGAACTTGTGGTGGCATCGTCATCGTCATGGCCGTCAAGGGACTCACCCGGTGAAGATGGCCATGGTCATGGCCGTGAGAAGCCCAAAGTTGAACATTTTGCGCCACATGGGCCATCGCTACAAGACGTCAGTTCCGGTGAGTCGTGACATGGAGGCAGGACGCGAGACTGACCAAAGGATCGTTGGGGTCGTCTGACGGCGTGGGCCTGCGAGTTACTTTTTCTTTGCCCGACTTTTGACCTGTGGCACCGTGAGCGAGTTGCCATGACCACTTTGCTGGCGAAGGACTTACGGCTTAGCAGCTCGACCGTGCCGGGTGGGAAATCGCTGCGACCACGCATTGTCATGGTTGGGTTCTGCAAAGTGGCCGGTGGAAATGGAACGGTGTAAGATGACTGGATAGCGATGAGAGTCTGCGTGGGCCGCCTGACGACTCTGCGAGGTTGGCCAAGTGTTTAAATATGATTTCACGGCATGGCAAGTTGTCAAGTACTGCACGACCGAGCCGATAATCACGCCGTGCACGGCCCGACAAAGCCTATTGACTATTTGCGGCGGCTAGCGTGTTGCAAATAGATATATGTCTGGTGTGGGCTGACTCGGGTCGCGCAGTATACGTCGAGTGAGCTCGTGGCCGGGCTGCCCGAGGGGCGTTTCAGAAACGCAAGCATGTTGCTTGCCGTCGTAGTACTGTCGGATAAGGCTGCCTCTGTTGATTGAACAAGCAGACTTGACGTAATTGCTAGATGTCATAAAATCATCGATATCAGTAGTTTGAGAGGCTGGCCAGCCACCCTGATTTCATCAGGTGGCTGGGAAGTCTTCTAAACTAAAGATAAAAGACATGAACCCTTCTGAAGGATAAAAAAAAAAAAAAAAAAACAACAGTAATTTTTATATTCAAGAAATAAGCTTAGTTAACAATGAGTCTCATAACGTGACAAGTACAATGTTGCAAGCATACGCCTAATACAACCAGACTCGAGTGAGCTTGCCACCGAATAAACCTACCCTCTTGCCAGCGGGCTAGTTGGGTACGATAGGAAATAGGAAATAGTCATGTCGTCGCTAGTGCTGCATCATGTATCATGTGGATGTGCAAAATTAGAGTTCCCCGCCAGCGTTAAGCACCAGGGTCGACTCCAGGCCGGCTCCGATTTGTTTGCACCGTTGAACCGTACCTGAGGTAACTGGATGAGATTGGCAACTCATCCAACTCCAACCAATCCTATATTCTGGTTGGTTGGATGCAACCAATCTTTGCTGTGAAAGTCTCCAATCGATCCAATTCAAGGGTCGGATTGGATGAGTTGGTTGGAAGGACACTCTGAAACCAACCGTTCACTCTTTTTGGTAGAAAATTAGGAGTCTTTTAGTCTGTCTAACCTGTTCTAAAGCAATCGTGCTGTCATAGGATTCCTTGGAACAATACGCATAAACTCCTGGAGAACTCTATACAACGACAAAAGCTTCCATTCTGACCCGCGCCAAAATTCCTATTCAAGTCTCCATCAGTCCAGAATATTCGAATTATAAGCCTAGAGTTGCCATTTGTATCAGCAAACCATTGATAGACTAACTGAGCATATTGAAAGTAGAAAACAAGTCTCACCTCAGATCTGAATTCTCCCGTAGGATGGGACAGCGGCTTTCAGATAGGTCTGCAAAGTGATTCATAGCCATCGCAGCCGCATTCAGCTTTATATTCTTCAATAGAGCAACCGATTTGAGTGCAATTTTCAATAATCCGAAGGCCAAGGAGAGCAGCTTCCTTATCTTCATAGCCATCGAAGCACTCGTCTGGAAGAGAATCCTTAGCAGTATAAGGTTTAGAACAATCGCATGCATTCTGCTCATCCGTTGCTGGCTTGGGCTGTCGACTGGCAAGGCA